ACTTGAGAGAGGAGGGGGGTGAACGAAAGGTAGCAGGGAATCAGGCGTAATCCGGGAGGAGGTGAGAGGCCCCCCACTTGTTTGAAGAGAAGTGAGTGAGCGTGATGAAAGAAAGACTAGTGCACAAACGCTTGACAAAACCTCCAGAAGCTGTAGCGGTCTAGCGGTTTCAATACAGGTTGACGTGCCTTCAAAAGGAGTCACATATTTCTCAAATGCAACTTCGGATTTACATAGTGACGTGCGGCGACCCTGTAAATTGCGTGGCCGCAGGCCATGCTTGCAAACAGGACGTGCTCAAAAACACTGGTATTTACGAGGTTTCGTCGCCGTCGATCCACAGCCGCGGCAAGGTCTAAGGCCACGCTTGAAGACAGGAGGAGCTGAAAACACTGGTATTTACGGTATTTTGTAGCCGTCGATCCAAAGGCGCACCACGGTTGAGCGCTGGAAAAGCGCAGAAAACCGTGTAAATACCGGCGTTTTCTGCCGGGAAGGTGCACAAAACCCTGTAAATACCATAGCTTTCCTAGACCTTCAAAATCCCAAAATATTTTGGTCGATGTGGTTTGTACTACTTTATTGTGACGATCAGTTGAAAAGTGGTCGAGCACATACGATTCAAACAAAGAGTGGTCGTGCATGGTCACACACTGCCCTCCCCGTGGCCTCTGGATGACTGATGGATGACTGATGGATGATGATGATGATGATGATGATGACGATGACGATGATGATGGTTCGGTTTCATGGGAGTTCAAAGGTATGATCTCTTATGCTTGCACAAAACTTGTGGCGAAATCAAGTGCAGCTGGGTTGGCCATCGCTTGAGCAGTCGATATACCCCTCTAAGAAAGAGCGGCTTTCACTAATCCCTGGTCGATCAGACATTGGCCTAGAGCTCCAAGAATTACGAGCAGGCTCGAGCGCAGCAAAACTACAAGATACGGTAATGACATACGAGTATGCAAAAGGAACCATAATTGCATTGTTGCTAACAAATGAACTCATGTCGACATCATGCTCGTAGGAAAACATGACTAGGCACTCATTTTCTCCCGAACAGCTTATGACCAAAGATTGTCCAAGTGGAGCAGGCAATCCTACTCATGACATTCAGCCCAAAAGAGTTGCAATTCAACGAATTTAGAGGTTTCTCAAAAACCATCAAAAACCCATTTGACCTACTTTCTGGGATTTGTGGGCGTTTGCCGGTTTTTGATGGCGTTTTGAGGGTTTTTGTGGGCGTTTTGCGGGTAAAACTGGTCGTGGGTTTTCATCAAATTCTGTCTCCGAAACCTCAGAATAGCATTAAGTGCTTTCCACTCCATGTAGGTCTTCAGAGGTCACAACCTGGGCATGAACAGACAAATGTTTTTATCAATTTCTCCTTTGTCGTGGTGACATCAATGTATTTATTATATATCGAATCATCTCTGCCATTGGCCAAGGATGAACTTATTGCAACCCTGTAGCCAGTTTTTTTTTAAAATTCTTTGTACATATCCTGCATCGCATCTTGCAATTCCACCGGAGTTCGAAGTCGTTCATTATATAATGGTAAAGGTAAATGAAGACACTTGGCAGCTGGGCATTAATCCAGTTATCGTCATCAAGAAGGCCGCAAAAACAATTTGAAGGTCGGTCTTTGCCGGGTCGATGATGACTGGCGTCTTCCACTGCGTCCAATGGGATGGCTGATGGATGGATGGGTTGATAAATACGGAAGTCATCCCCTAAATATAGATGTGTGATAGCCGGTGATGGCTACTCGGATCAAAATCTGTGGAGCATACCCAAATCACACCGCTAAGCAAAAATCAGTCGTTTCTGACAACCACCATTTTTTTCCATCGAAGCATCAGAAACTAATACAACAACCCAATCGTACTAGAATATTTTAGCCGTTGGAAGGTCTAGGTTGTGCAATTTTGAAGCCTCCAAAAGCCTCAAAAACCCTTTCTGACAAAATCTTTCCTGGTTTTTGGTCTTTTTTCGGTCACTTTTCTAACCGAGACGCATCAAAAACCATCGGTTTTTGCGGTGTTTTTTGCCGGACAGCCACAAAAAACGCTGTAAATTCCATGATGTTTGGTCACTGCTGAGGACTGGAAGAGCTGAAAACACTGATATTTACAGTGTTTTCGAACGGTTGACCCCGAGGCGCGCTAGGGTGGAGTTGAAAGGGAGGGGGGGGGGCCCCCCCCCCC